CACATTGTGTTTATACCGAGCAATAAAAACACTAATGCGTCAGTAGCTTCAACCAAATTATCTGATATAATATAGAACCCGAAGTTGACATATCCATTATGCCTTTAGCTGCTAGCATGGTATTTCATCAACTGCTTAATATTAATTTCATCCATGACCAAGGTACAATAAAAACGTTTTTTTTTTGTTATAATTTCCTAGGTGTACAGTCTATTCGCTTAGATACGCACGTGCCGCATTTTGTCAAAGGGGCGACAATAAAGATCGTACTGTAATGTATTGATAACTTGGGGTATGAAATATAATTTACCGAAATGTTTGGAGCAAATGGTGCTAGTCCGTATAGGTATCGATTCATGATTTCTACAAGCTGCAATACAAGCCAGCCACTTAAGAGGTTCTCCTTCAAATATAGAAAATCAATCCTTGTGCACAGGCTTGAGGATATAGGTATAAGTGGTACTCACTTATATTGTATTATATATTATATATTTAGACTATTATTATTTATATTTAAACTATTATATTTAGAATATTATATTTAGACTATTATATTTAGTTACATATTGAGACTATCTTAAGGATCGCAAGCAGAGAGGTAAGATAGGCGAACACTTAAGCGACGAATCAGATGTAACATTCAGAGTTCTACAGGGCAGTGTCCTCGATCCTACTTTGTTTTTAATCTACATAAATAATCTGACCAACATAGACAAAAACGAGGGCAACATAATCTTCTATGCAGATGACTGACTATGTCTTGAGTTCTTGCAGTGGTATGCTTGGGTTTAGTTTTAATTTTATTGATTATAGAGTCCCAAGCAGGTGGTAGTACCAATCCTCTTTCTCTTTAGCCCCATCTAGACGCCTTCTATGACCGAATGTTAGTAGTAATTAGACTGTGGAAATACTATTTGACATTTTTATGTAAAAATTCAGTTATCGATTACAAAGTGCTAAAATCTATCCGACAAGTCCCAATCTCTATTGAAAGCCGACATCAATTTCTTTTAGTTATATTCTTTCATCTTTATTATTTGACAAACTGACATTGTATTTCCCTGAAAACTAACTATAACTAACAGTGTTTCTTCATTGTTCTTGTTCGAAAACTTTGCTGCTAAAATATGTGTCGGTTGTTTTCTTATTATCGTTTACATAATTGATCACGATAGTTATAATCGATTACAGTTAGTCATTAAGATAATCGATTAAGCTTGTTACTAATGATTTATAATAACCTCAGAGTAATTACTAGCATATACCACTATTACACTACCCTGAATTAGGGTCCCTACTCCCTGATTCAGGACGGTGTAATAAGAGAAAGGTAAGGGTCCCTAATTAGAGCGTCAAAGTGGACCCAGTTCTTTCAAACATTGATAGATCGTTCATAAACATGGTTCTTCATGAGCGATGTTTTATGAAAGCTGTTTTGGCTTGCAGTCAAAGGTTACGAAATAACCAAATATTCGAAGGTATGATAAATTCCGTATGTTAAAAGTTGCGAACGATGATTATCACGAATTTTATGTTCCCGAAAAATATATATTCGAAACAAAATATGTCAAAGTTAGATAACATATATGTATGTGTAACACATATATATGTATGTATATATTTAAATACTGATAAAACATCGAAAAAATCGATATATCGTACATTAGCTTCGATGTTTTTAATGAGCGACGTTGCATCCTATAGATGTGCTTATTCGGAAAAAATCACACACCTCGAACAAAATTTAAGTTACGCAACTAGAGTTAGCACAAATCAAAAAAAATATCGATTCAATGAATATATACACTTTTTTCACTTGTATATAACTGAATAAGGGCGTTAAATCGAGGTAGTGTGATAACTGACGTCTAGCTTGCTACATATTTATTTATCTATGCTGACGTCCCTAATTAGGGGCCACGACCACCCTTCATTCGAGGCCCTGATCATGGAGGTTAGACAGAAGGAGAACGATCGCTACGTGCATGGAGGTTAGAGAAAAGGAGAACGATCGCTCTAGAAAATAGTATTCCAGAAATATGGTAAAAATAAGTGAGGCGCTGTGATCGCTCAGTTGTCCCAATAAAAGCTGGCTGTTAGGCGCTAGTCTGAAATGATCTATTCAACCCGGATATCCAGAGCTTTTGAAGAAAGCACTTAGCCAAAAAAATGACCGGAGTGATCCATCCATTAGGATCGAAGGTGCGGGCTACATTCGACAGCACGGAGCACTTGGTCCATGATTTAGGAGGGGGATCGAGTTTGACTCGATACGAGAAAGTATCCTGAACAGGCTGATATTGAATGCCCAGTACAGTCAACAAATTAGGATTTTCAGGGTGCTCGAATAGATGAGGGTCTTTTTGATCCTCTCCTGGGAGGTCCTTCAAAATATGAGGGGAGTTCGACAACCATTTGCGCAACTCATAACCTCCGGACTTTAGGATGGCAATCAATTCGTCTCGCAATACAAGAGCCTCCTCGACGGTGGAGGCGCCCGTGCAAATGTCGTCCATGTAGACCGAAGTCTCCAAAATAGAAGCCCCCCAAGCGTATTTTAGACGCTCTCTCTCAGCGAGTTCGAGGAGGGTTCGCATGGCGATATACGAGCTGGACCGGAGTCCATAGGTGGTGGTGTTCAATTGAAACACCTGTTTTGGATCGCTGGGCTTCTCGCGCCACAATATCAGCTGATATCGACGGTCATCACGATGGACCACTGATTGTCGAAACATCATCCGAATGTCGGCTACAAAAACCACTTGGTACCGACGGAAGTGGGTCAAAATGTTGGATATGTCCTTGATCAATTTAGGACCAGAGTGGAGACACTGGTTCAGGGACACACCATTTGACGAGGGGGCGGAGCCGTCAAAAACTACCCTAATTTTACTCCCAGGGGTCCTCAAGACCGCATGGTGAGGGAGGAAGTAGTGCTCCTGTGACCGCTAGTCGAAATTGGCCGGTGAGATGTGACCCAGCTCTTGATACTCGCGCATGAACTCGACATATTTGTCGCGAAAGGCTGGGTCGCGCCGCGTACGGCGCTCAATGGACAGCAACCTCTTTTCGGCGAAGGTAAGAGATTGGCCCAAAGGGGGCCGTGAGTCAAGAAAGGGTAAGCGAGTGACAAAACGATCGTCGACACGACGGAAGGTATTGTTCTGGTAGAACAACTAGCACTCACGATCCAGAGTGGCTCCTCAATTTTCCAGAACTGCTGGACGACGTCCGAAAGGGACACGCCCACCACAGAGAGCGGGTCAGCCGTCTGAGGAGGTGGAGACCACAGAACCGGTCCAAAGAAACTGTGCCCAAATACAGTGGACGTGGCTGACAAGCCATCGGGCTCTAGGGCTTGTATCTCGCCTAACAAGATGAACCCCAACGCGTCGGCCCCCAGCAACAAATCTATAGGCCCAGGTTGGGACCATTGAGGGTCTGCCGGTCTCAAACCCGACGCACAACGAACCGCGCTGTAATTTATACGGACGTTAGGGAGAAAACCTACAATGTCATCGAGGACATTTAACTAGAATGTGAAGGCGTTCGCTGGTAGGGCCAAACACCAACTCCGCTTGTCCCCTAGGAGCAGGAGGCTCGGCACCTCCGATACCTACCATTGGACGTGATTCAGAGCTCCAGGGGAGCCCTAGTCTTCCCACCAACCAAGTGGAGGCCACACAGCGTTGTGAACCCGAATCCAATAGAGCGCGAACCGTTAAACAGTCGCCACTCGGGTTGTACACCTTCACTGAGGCCATCGGCAATAGAGCAGTTTGACAAGTAGACTGTTGACGGCTCAAAGGATCAGTGGAGGCGGCCGTGGTGGGAGCTAGGGCGGCAGCTACCTAGCTGGAGCTGCCTCCATCGGACCGGCACTCGAACCGGAGGTCCCGAAAGCGGCATTCCGGCGGCATCTCAATGACCCGTGGTTGGAAATCACCGAACAGGCCGACCTGGGGAGCTTCGCGGAACCTCGGCCTTGAGGCCCGGGACAGATTCGAGATCGCAGGAACCCCGTAGTACCGGTACCGACCAAAAGGAGGAGGGTGGTACTTCAGTCGCGGCCACTCAGCAGTCAGCCAGACCCTTCTCACCCCCGTTAGCTGAGTGGCCGCGACTGAAGTACCACCCTCTCGCGGCCACTCAGCTAACGGGGGTGAGAAGGGTCTAGCTGACCGCTGAGTGGCCGTGAATTTCCTCTCAACACGCTGAGGGGGGGCGAAGACCCCCCCGCCCCTGGGGGAACGACCCCCCGACTGATCGAGGGAGGGACCCCTTCCAAACCCAGGGGCACGGTGGCCGGCAGGGGATCATCGAGCGTCGCCCGACAGAGGGCGTGGCTAAGCTCCCCCGCCCGTGGGAGTTGAGGGCCCGGCAGAGCCTCGAGAGGAAGCGCCGTTCGCACCCAGGCACAAAATGGCATGGTGATTGCCCTGGCAGTGCGCACAGGGCCGCTGGTGCGGGCAGTTTCGTTGGAGGTGCCTTTCCAAGCACTAGTAGCACCAGCGGCGCTCCTTTGCGATGGTTCGCCTCGCCGGGACCGGCTTACCCAGTAACTTCGGGCACAACGTCACCCGGTGATTGGATGCTCCACCGGTAAATCCAGCCGCCTCAACGAATTACAGGCTAACGTGACTTTATGACTTTATGTGTGGATTTATGATGTCCGGACGTAGTCTGGCCCGGTCCCTAAGCAGCAGGAGGTTTAGAAGCTGCCTAACGTATTCGTCCGCAATTCGCCGGACGTTGGCGTACCTTCCTGCGAGGAGGTCCCGGGCTTCCTGGTAGGCGTTAATTTCAAATAGCCGACGACGCCCAGGGCCTCCTCCTCCAGTGAGGCCAGGAGGTACGCCATCTTCTGGCTTGGTGTGAAGTCCCTCCGGGCGTCCACTAGGCTATCAAAAAGGCGAACAAAGGTCAGCCAGTCGGAGGACCCCGGAGAACCTTGGCAGGTCCAGAGTTGGGTGTCGTCCCAACAGCTCCGGCTGAGAAGGCTACTTCCGAGGGGGCTCGGGCAGGCCACTCAGCCGAGCTTCACGCGCTTCACTAGCATACTTGGCCCTCGACTTGATCAAGTCGTCCGTGAGCGAAAAGAATTGCTCGTAGTCCGCGAGGCAGGAGTCTAGGACTACCTGTTCCGCATCCGAGGTGAAAAGCTCAGTGCAAGCCTCCTCCACTACGGCCCTTCGGGCCATGACCTGCTCGAGCCGCTTCTCTAAACTATGGACCCGATCGGGTCGCCCTATCAAGGTATATATAAGGTATATATCAAGGGCATTCGCGGCCCAGCGCAGCTCCGCCTGCAGGCGAAGCGCCAGTGGCTTGTGCGATGGCATCACTACTAAATACAAATTACTATTAAATTAAATTAAATACAATTACACTACACGGCAAGTACACACTACAGTCGGTCAGCAAAGATGCCTCGCTCAGGAGACCGACCCTTCGGCAATTTAATCTACTTACCCGAAATACCTGACGCGTAGGTCCCTAACCCTAAACTACACTCCTGCTTGCGCAGCCTAACGGGCGTGGTTCTCACCACCGACCCGCTAACAAACAAAAAAAAAATTATATTACGGCCGGGCGTGATTGGAGAAACAATCAACCACGCTCTGCTGCCAGAAAATGTTACGGCCCTCAGTTGCCCCGACAGAAGTCGACTGGGCTAGGGCCCATCAGTAACCCAACTCGGCGGGCAACAAAGAGTTTGAGCCCAAATGGCTTATGGATAATTATTACGTAATGGCTGGATAAGCAAACACAAACTTACCGAGTAGAGTCGACAACAAGGTACCGTCAGGGGCAAGTAAATGGTAGGTGTAAGTAGTGTGAGAAGGTGTGTAATGTAACCTGACGTCACCGATATAATCGGCCAGCAGACACACATGCGTTGCCCTGCTCCACAAGGTGCAATCACTACACAAAACTATAACCGGAAAAGTACCACCCGACAAAGCAAAAATTCCTTCGTACGATACTAAAATACCACAAAAGCAACTCGTCGACGCAAATTAATGGCAATCGAAGTTAAATTAATCACTCAAACTCAAGGAAGGCCTCGTTGTCACGTATACGAACCAAATAAGACCACGCAAAGGGTGTGGTCTCAACGCGACCTTAAGATTATAACTTAACTTCCCGGCATCTAACCGACACGGCCGTTGCGGACAATAGATTATTCCAGACTAATTGGCGCGGCCACAGCCGCAAAACGAATGCCCCCGGCGCAAGTCGTCAAACCGGTTTTTCGCCCGAGACGAGCGTTTTTGCAAGTTTTAAGTTGTTACGATTTGGCCTAAACAGGCATAGTATAAAGAGAGAAAAATAGATTTAATTAGAAGAACCGAAACAAATATGTTGACTCAATTTATGTACAATTGTAGGTTCTTTCAATGCATACGTATGTATGTTATTAACTTAGGATTTCGACTCAATATCGTCATCATCTGATTTCATCTGCTTGAATCACAGTCAGGGCTGCCAGAGGGAAAAAATGCGTGATTGTACGCCAATTATTAAAAAAGACGTATGTCAGGAAGATTTTAAAATGAAAAGATCGTACAATCTATAAGTAAACAGCTTTTATTCAAACCAACCAACATTTGTTAAGGAATGTTCAAAAATATATTAATACTACTTATTATAGTTATTCAAATTTGCTGCATGAAAATGATGAATTTTTAACATTTATTTGTTGACTTAAACTTCGTACCATTTTCGTTTCTTCTCATCAGTTTCTTTACTAATAATGTTCCATTCAGTATTTCATTGGATAAACTGTTTCTATGTATTGTTTTAATTAAATTAACTTCGCTAAATTCTCGTTCACAATCGGCACTAGATTGGGGCAAACAGCAAATTGAAAACGAATTGAGCCAGTAATTTATAATTTTCAAATAGTTATTTGATGACGACCCAAAACTCGTTGGTATTTAAAGTAAAGTCAATTTTATCTAAAATGCTGGGAAAACTGTGCAATTTGTCATCGATTGCCTGCATTGTTTGAATGTCGTCGGGTTTTACTATTCCTGGAATAAGTATCATGAGTGGTTGTAAGGAAGGCACTTTATTTTTGTAATTACTGGAAGCAGCATTAGTAGGTTCAATACGATCAAGTTTTGTTGGAATAGGATCATCTAGGTCATATTTTTTATTTCTTTAGCGCTTGTGATTAGAAAATGCCCACAGCGATGAAAAGTCCTTGGTGGCAGGTATCTGACAACGTAATTCAGGCTGCGTTATTTTATACATCACTCGAATTCCCAAATAAATTTAATTGTCTTTTAACCATTTCTCTAAACGTACACCAGGAAGCTCAGTTTTGTTGACATAATCATGATACAAAAAACATAGCAAAATATCTTTATACACTTCGCGCATCTTTTCGTTTAAAGCTGTGTTACTACTTTTTCCGAGTGAAAAAGTTTATTAAGAGTGATAATTTTGGTCAAAATCCAAGACAGGAATATGTAATAAAGCTTCCATCACAAAAAACCAACGTGTTTGCGATAGATGCCATATCTTATAAGGCGAAGCACTCACAAATTCTTGAAATTGTTGGAGGCGGAAAAGTCTTTTGGAATTGTTTTTAAAAAACTATGTTTCTCTCTCGCCAAATGTTCGCAGCGCCTTGGTAATTGTTTGCACGATTCAGATGCGCAAAGGTGTGCCGTGTGGCAAACACATTTCATAACATATATTCCTGACAGCACCTTCCGCTGCTGTTTTTTGATCATCAGACCTAAATATTTTGCAAAGATCCCAAACTTACAATTTTATTGTCTTTGGCGTCATAATATCTAACAATTATACAACTTGATTTGTGAGTGCTGACATGTGTTGACTCATCAGACATAGCACTGAACTTTTCAGTTTACAGTTTTCGACCAGTGACGAGTTTTCACTTTCGCCAATAACTTCGGTAATTATGGATGTCGTTTTCTTTCTTTCAATAGAAATTTTGTGCGCCACTCTGAAATCTTCCAATATACTTACCATTTGATCTGCAGTTTTGAACGCAATATTATGCTTAGCTAGAAAACCTGCCAACTTGATTTTAGTCATTGAAATAACTTTATTTTTCAGCACCGCTCCTTTTAGTAACAAATGCAAGCATGATATTAGGCTGTTTTAATTTTGCTTGGAACTGCAGATCTTTTATGCTTCTTCCTAGAAACCTTTTTTTTAAAACTCCATATTCTGAAACGTCACAAACCGTGCACTTTGCTTTGAATTGTTTTTTATCAGGCCCTAACCAGTCCTTAAACAAATCTATTTTTTTTCCAAACATCATGATACTTCTGTGATGGAGAAAGCTCTCCTCTTTGAGCTTGTTTCTTTTTTGATGTACCTGGCGTAGGTCGCTCTCCTTCACTTTCATCACTCACTCTTGCTTGAACTAATCAAATTACGACTGAACTGATAAAAAAGCAGTTTTTGAAAAGTCGCAGTTATTACGGAAAGAGAGGAAAAACAACCGATGAATCGATTCACAAAAAAATTGAGATCTAGGAGGTCAATTTCTTAAAAGTCGATCTTTATGTCCATTTGCTTTCAGAATCTATATTTATGATATCAAAATATAGAACAAAGTACAAATTACAAACGTAACTTATTTTTTATTTCTATAATTCATTAAGAAGAGATGAAAGATACTGAGCACACAGCAGTTTTGCGAGTTTCTGAATAGAAAAACTGTCATTATTTACGAGTTTGGTTACATTCAACTAATGGTAAATGATTTTATAACTCTTATAAAAACAGAAAAAGATTTGATCTTGATTTTCTAGGGTGAAATATCGATTCACTGGATTGATTTAGTACTATATATCGATTTAAAAATCAGTCTTTTAGGCACAAGAAATCGATTCTTCGATTAATCGATCTCAGATCACCATTCCATCCCTAATGTGAATCTGTGATCTGTCGAAGTGATTAGCTTAGCTGACTTTTTCAATTTTCGTCAGATTCCGTGAGATTCCGATTTGAATGATTGAATGTTATAAAAAAAAGTTGTGTGAATGTGTCGAATAAGACATTCATGGTAGATTTGGTATTATTACTCAGCTAAAGTTAGCAAATTACGTATTTTCTGAAACTGTTAGATTAACTAATAGCGCAATCTATTAAAAATTGTATTTTATTAATACCTTTGGATTTTGGTGACTAATAGGAAGAGCGAAAATTCGTATTATGACGGTGACTTCCTAAAGCTATTCAAACCTTTCAAGTGATGTCTGACGGAGATCCCTCCCTTGAAGAAGACGTACCAAAGCCTCTATTGGAAAGACCTGAGGAAAATGTATTTACTCCGAAGATAGCAACTCCTATTTACACTGCTGGTGTGAAATTACACCATAACAGGTCAGACGCTATTGAAACAGAATTATTTCTGACTGACTCACAAAGAAATGACCTTGCGTTCCAAGAGTTATTCCAGGGTGGAGATGGAGAATATATCGAAGTAAGTCAGATATATATTATTGCTTATGTGTATGATGTTTACTTAGTTCTAATTAACATATTGTGAATTAAAATATAATAATATCAATTGACTGAAAGAGCAGGGTTGCTCAATATAGCTAATATAAGGGTATTTTTCTAATTTAATTGTGCATGCACTATAGCAGCCTGAGTGAATGATATCTTTAGACTAACTTCCCAAAGATAGCACTTTCAAATGACTACTATTAGAAAGTTTGTATTTTAATATATATGTACAATGTAATGGCACAAATTTAGTAAAATTATAAATGCAATTACAATATTTTTGCTCAAGAGACATTAGGGTCCACATTTGACATGAGTTTTGTTTATACAAGTTGTGTTAGGGTTATATGAAATTGCGAGATCTGTGGTCCTATATATATCCACCAAAATATATATACCTATATATTTTGGTGGACAGAGAGAAACATTGGTTTCTTAAGAATACCTTAGAAGGCGATGGCTGTCTGGGTTTATCGCACTGGGTATATTTCCTACGAGGCAGGATTGGCAGGATCCCCTCTTTGGGATTTAGAGGCGGAGTTGGTAAAACTATAGACATCCAGAGAGGTGTGGAAGGGGGTGGGTGCAGGGGAAGCAAATTGCATGCACAAGGCGAACCAGTCTCAGCCACTATGGCTCACGCAGGTGCCTCCAATTTGCTACGGCGGGTGGAAGTTGCTATCCTTAAGGCTTTAAAAAAATGCTCTAGGGGTAAGGCAGGCAAGACTACGTGGAGTCGGGGCATGCTGTTTCGGTTTTAGAACGGATTCAACCAATCTTATCTATGATAGTGGTAAATGAAACAATGTAATGTGAATTGTTATAATTTTGTTTTCTGAAAAAC